TACCTGAAGCTCACAAGAAAGATCAATGAGGCCGAGGAGCGAATAGACACTATCACCACCGCCTCGGCCGAAGAAGACATACCAAAGGCCGAACCGGTCGGAGACGTGGAAGATGTTCCGTTGGACGTCTCCCGGCCGGAACGAATGCTGAAGATTGGGACACAACTCCCCCAACAGATCCGAAGGGACATCCTCTCTGTCCTGAGGGCGTACGCCATCGTCTTTGCATGGGGACCAGAGGACATGCCGGGCATCAGCCCGAAGGTAATCACACATCGGCTATCGGTGAACCCGGCCTCCTCCCCCATCAAGCAGAAGAAGCGCTACCTCTCAGCCGACAGGAGGGAATTTGTCAAGGCCGAGGTGTCCATGCTGCTCTCCATCAAGCACATAAAAGAGGTGAAGTACCCCACGTGGTTGGCGAACGTCGTCCTCGCACCAAAGCCGCCCACGTTCAGAATGTGTGTTGATTACACTGACCTGAACAAGGCGTGCCCGATGGACCCATTCCCTCTCCCCAACATTGATCAGTTGGTGGATGAGACGGCGGGGTGCGAGTTGATGTCGTTCCTCGACGCGTTCAGAGGGTACCACCAGATATCCATGCACGAAGATGACGCGGAGAAGACTGCTTTTATGACCCCGGAGGGAATTTTTTGCTACCTCGTCATGGCCTTTGGGCTCAAGAACTCCGGCGCCACCTACACAAGGATGGTAGCCCGGATTTTTAGAGCAGTCTTAGGTCGGACGATGGAAGCATACGTCGACGATATGATCGTCAAGAGCAAACAATCCACAACTCATGCCGATGACCTCCGGGGCATCTTCGAAATCATGAAGAGGTACAACCTCCGGCTCAACCCGAAGAAGTGCACCTTCGGCGTCCAGGGAGGTAAATTCTTGGGGTACCTGGTCAGCCGAAGGGGCATTGAAGTGAACCCAGAGAAAATACAAGCCATTATCAACATGGAGCCACCCCGCAACATCAAAGAAGTGCAACGGCTGACGGGACGCCTCGCGGCCCTGAACCGTTTTCTCTCAAAATCCGCTGAGAAGTCTCTCCCCTTTTTTCAAATAATGAGGAAGGCCACCAGCTTCAAATGGACGACGGGAGTGCCAGCAAGCCTTTGAAGAGCTGAAGCAATATCTCGCCTCCCCGCCCGTCCTATCCAAGCCCCAACCCGGCGAGACTCTTTTCCTTTACTTAGGAGTGAGCACGTCGGCCGTCAGCTCCGTACTCATCAGGGAGGATGACGGGGTGCAAAAAGCAATATTCTACGTCAGCAAGACGTTGCGGGAGGCCGAGCTCAGGTACTCCCCCATTGAGAAGACGGTACTGGCCATCGTCCATACGGTGAAAAAACTTGGGCACTACTTCCAGGCTCACCCCGTCCACGTCCTCACGCATCAGCCGTTGGGAGCCCTCATGAGGAGCCCAACCAGCTCTCCAAGGATGATCAAGTGGGCAATATTCTTGAGCCAGTACCAGATTGAGATCAAGCCGAGGCCATCCATCAAAGGGCAAGCCTTAGCTGACTTCGTCACCGAGTGCACGGCAAGGGAGACGGCCGTTACCACCACAGGAGCTGAACCGGACGAAGCCTGGACCCTCTACACGGATGGGTCCTCGGCCACCAAAGCTTGTGGAGGTGGCGTCGTCCTCATCTCCCCGGAAGGTTTCAGGGCATACTATGCCATCCGCTTCAATTTCAAGGTATCCAACAATGAAGCCGAGTATGAAGCGCTCCTAAGCGGACTCAGACTGGCCGCCGGCCTTAAAGCACGCCACGTCAGAATCAAATGCGACTCCAGACTCGTAGTGAGCCAGATGGAGGGTTCCTACGAGGCCAAAGAAGGGAGAATGAAGCAATACAAGGAGGCCGCTGCGGAATTGCTCAAGGCGTTCGATACCTACGAGATCACTCAGATCCCAAGGGCGGAGAACGCCGAGGCCGACATACTCTCCAAACTCAGCTCCGACACCCCTGAGCACATCTCCAAGATAGCTAAGGTGGAGGAGTTGAGCATGTCAAGCATTCATGCTAGCCCTATACTCTCCATCCAACACCAGCCGGAGGACTGGATCACTGACATCGCAACATACATCACCTCCGGCACGCTACCAGAAGACGAGGAGAGGGCCAAACTAGCCAAGCTCAGGGCCCCAAGCTATGTCATTGAGGGTGACAAGCTCTACAAGAGATCATACAACGGCACTCTCCTCCGGTGCCTACACCAGAATGAGGCCGAAGTGGCCATGGAAGAAGTCCACTGCGGCGTATGCTCATCGCATCAGGGGCCCTTCAGCATGTCGCGCCGCCTCGTCGTCCAAGGCTACTTCTGGCCGACGATGGCGCGTGATTGTGCTGAGGTCGCCCGCAAATGCAGCGCATGTCAACACTATCAAAGGGCACCTGGCCGACCAGCCGTCAACTACGCCCCGGTCAGCACTGCCATCCCATTCTCCAGATGGGGCATCGACCTCGTCGGCCCTCTACCAAGAGCTGCGGCCAACAACAGATACATCATCGTAGCCATCGACTATTTCACCAAATGGGTCGAGGCCGAACCACTCGCGAGCATCACCGGAGCGCGGTGTCGAAAGTTCGTCTACAAGAACATCCTCACCCGCTTCGGCGTGCCCCAGGAGATCATATCAGACAACGGCACCCAGTTTGAGGCCGAACCGTTCCAAAGCCTCCTCCAAGAATGGGGTATCAAGCACCGTTTCTCCTCCGTTGCCTACCCTCAGGCCAACGGGCAGGTTGAGAACGCCAACAGAACCATCTTGGAGGGGCTGAAGAAGAAACTCGAGGAAGAGGGCGGAAGTTGGGTCGACGAGCTCCCCAACGTCCTATGGTCTTACCGAACCACTCCAAGGAGGGCCACTGGCGAGACACCATTTTCCTTGTGCTATGGCTTTGAAGCCAAGGCTCCCACTGAAGTCACCCTCCCCAGCCGACGGGTCACACAATACGACCCCGAAGCCAATGAAGAAGCCATGAAGATCGACTTGCACCTCATTGATGAAAGGCGGGAGATGGCTTACCTTCGGGCAGAGAACTACAGACGACAAGTCAAATCCTACTACGACGCCAAGGTCCGCTCTCGCGAATTCCAAGTGGGGGACTACGTCCTCCGCCGAAGGGAAGCAAGCAAGCCGACGGAAGGAGGAAAGCTCGCCGTCAAATATGAAGGGCCCTACATCGTCAGCGCCGTCATCAAAGCCGGCACTTACAAACTAAAGAACCCTAATGGGTCAGATGTACCACGATTGTGGAATGTACACCACCTGGTGAAATTTTACCAATGACTCGAGAAGTGGTGAAGCGGGCAACGTCCCCCACCCCTCGGCTTATTGGTTGAATAAAACACCCTCGGCCTAGCGCCACTCATTGAATAAAATTCATGTTTCATCCAATCTTTTAAGATTTGAACAAAGGTAATCCTAAGGACCGCATCGGCCTAAGCGGTGCAATCACCCGGGTCCGGTGCGACCTAAAGCCGTCGCAATAAACGACGCACCCAAAGCCGTTGCAATAAACAACGCACCTAAAGCCGTCGCAATAAACGACGCACCCAAAGCCGTTGCAATAAACAACGCACCTAAAGCCGTCGCAATAAACGACGCACCCAAAGCCGTTGCAATACACAACGCACCTAAGGCCGTTGCGATCCACAACGCGCCTATAAAGCCGTTGCAATAAACAACGCACCTAAATATCGTATCGGCACAAGCGGTGAAACACCCAAATCGGCCGGCGATATGTAGGACGAAGGACCTGTGTGCATGGTCCAACGTCTTCAAACGGAGAAGCATACCGCGTCGTCCGCGCGGAAACCGCAGGACGACAGGCCTGAATTAAGGCTGAGGTTACAAAAACTCCACCCGTCAGTAAAATTTCGCTCAGGACCACAAAGGGCGGCCGTCAAAAGACGATGCCTTGTCCGGTCCCTCGTCGACGATAGACGTGGAAAGGCCAGAAAAGGAAGCCACTGACACCAAGCCGAGGGCGTATTTACTCCCTCGCACTAATTCACGCGAACAGCGTAGCGGACAAACTACCGCACACGGACGAAGGGACAGTAACCCTTCGGCCACCTAAAAAAAAAAAAAAAAAAAAAAAAAAAAAAAAAAAAAAAAAGAGGGAAGCCGACGAACCGTGCACTCGCCGGCCTCGAGCATAAAACAACATCCCCACAAAAACCAAGCCTCAAAATTGGCTAAGTACATATCAGGTTTTCACTATACAGGGAACCGGAGTGCACGCTTCGGCCCCAACCATAGCTTCACTAAAGGGAATCGCTTCGGCATCGGTTATACAAAACCACGGTCCATTACTTGGACGATGGGACGCATCGTCTCCAATTAGCAAAAACCAAGCGACGAACCGAAGCAAAACAGCTCCATCAAGACAAGTTTGAGACGAAGCGCTACGTCCTCAACACTTCAGGATTAAGTTCCAAAAACTCAACTCGGGAAAGACGTAAAGGCAAAAATGGAATTCGTCAAGGGACGACGAGGCGCATCGTCTTCAAACAAAGAAGGTCGCTACGTCTCAGCTGACGGATGTCACAAGATAAACTCTTGGCACTTAGAAAGATTTCAAAACTTTGGGGCCATGCCTTACCTAAGACGCAAGGGACGTAGCGCAGCGCCAAGAAATAGTTTCAACACTTGGTAAACGTTTTGAAACACATGTTCTAAACACATTGGTTCCGACGAAGGGGCGCATCGTCCCTAACATTAGATGCAGGGAACACGCGCAAACGTCCTCACATACATACCAGTAAGGCGAGGGTGCCCCCACATCAACAAAGGAAACGATGGAACGCATCGTCCCAAACTTGGCAAATTCGCCAAAGTAAAAACTTGCGAAGCAATGTCACTAAGACGACGCGACACCGACAAACCAAACGCCAAACATAAAAGGGAAAACGAAGCAAGGAACAACATTCATACTTGAACAAAAGTGTTATCATTAATAATTCAAAAAGAGGGCGCTTCGGCCATTACAAAAAGGGCGCTTCGGCCATTACATACACCAGGGCGCTTCGGCCATTGGGGCTACAAAAAAGAAATGAAGTACAAGAAGGCACTAAGCAGCTTGTCCTTGGCCACCCTCAACGGCTCCGCTGTCCGCATCGTCTTGCTCATCCTCGGTATTCTTGGACCGCGCCGAGCTACGGAACAGGTAGTCATCACTCTCGGTCCAGGGCTCGTCCTCTTCATCCGAGCTCAGGATGGGGGGCTGCCTTTCGGACAGAGGAAGTTTCAACTCCTCCTCGGGGTCCTTCATCATCCGGGGAAGGCCGATACCCCTGGGCTTCAAGTTCTTTACACGCCGGCGGAGGCGGCGGTAAACCAACATCTGCATACGCCTCTGGCCTAGGTCGTACCAGACTTCAAACTCCTCCTTCAGGCGGGCTCGGCCAGCCTCCTCCTGAGACCACGCTTCAAAGCGCTCCGCCACAACATTGAAAGACCAATCGCTTCGGGCCTCGTCCTTCCACCCCTCGGCCATAAAAAGCTCAATGGCCTTATCGGCAGCTGCAATCGCATCGGCCTCAAGCTTCACAGCTCTTTCCTCTGCTAGCCGACGGGCAGCCGCTTCTTCGTCTAACTGAACCTTGAGGTGTTTCGCCTCGTCCTCAGCAGCGGCGGCTTTTTTCTCGGCTGCATCAGCTTTTTCCTTCAAAGCGTCAGTCTCAGTACGAAGCCGCTCCAGCTGGGAAAGCGCCTCGTCAGCAGAAGCGACTTTCTTCTCAGCTTCCCGAAGGCGAGCAAGCTCCTCTTCCTGACGTCGCTGCTGCTCCATCAGCATGAAGGCCCCCTGCAAAGACGAGTAATTGTTAGAAGAGGAAAGGAACACAAAAATTACTAAGTACAAAGGCCGGGATTTACCTGGACGACGTAGTCAAGCCCACCGTCGAAAAGGCGCACATCCTTACCCTGCCGACGCAGATACTCCCTGTCAGCATCAGGAATGGCCTGGAAAAGGACGTCGTGCCCAGAGACCTTATCATTGAATAAACCGCCCTTCGGCGGATACCGCACCGTAACCTCATAAAGACCAGAGGCCAGGTCTCGGCCGGCGCGGGCCCTCTCTTTAGCAACGGCACCGGGGTTAGCAGGAACGAGGGAGGACGAGGCGACGTTCAAAGTCAGATCCTCGATGACCTGCACATCAGAGGCAGCCTCCCCTTGAACCGACGCTTGCGCGTCGGCCATAACAGCATCTCGAAGGGGAGGGCTCGGCTTCGCCTTCTTAGCACCTTCAGCCGGCACCAGCCCCGCCTCCGTCAAGGTCTGTTGCCCTTCAGCGGACCTCTTCTTCTTCTTGGTCGCAACGGCCTTCTTCGCCGCATCGGCCTGAGACTTAGACCCGTCACCGGACCCCTTGGACGCGTCGGCCCGCTGGGCAGCTTCCATTTCTTTGGCAACCATCTTTTTCGCCTGGGCCATGAAGAGCTTACGGCTCATGGTGAAATCTGCAGATGCAAAGGACAAAGCAAAAGAGTTAGAAAACAAATACAACGAACTATATCACAAGTCAAAAGAAAGTGATCAACCTTCGGCATCGGCTGGGACACCGAGGTAGGGCCCGTCGGCCTGCTCAAAGTAGCCGGATATCTTCGGCCATAATCCGCAATCAGGGTCACCGGGAATGTGGTACCGCATCATCCCCAGAGCTGCTATCTTGAACTCAGTAATGTAAGTGTTGACGCTCCGCGGCCCACCCTTCAGGAACGCTTCCACCTGAGCATCAATCTCAAGGCTCCTTGGTGGGTTGTGCAAATTAAAGATACCGTTGTGCCCTTGAGATGGGAAGAACACCCTATCGGCTAATCTCACGAAGCAAAATTTACTCTTCCACCCATGGATAGACGACGGGAGATCAGTAAAAGATCTTTTCTTCGGCAGCTGTTGGAGGGCAGCATAACCAGCACAGTTCTCGTGGCTGCCCCGTCCGATCCGGTACAAGTTCGTGAACAATGCCGTCGTCGGCTCAATCCCAAGCTCATCGCATCGGATGAGGAACCCGACGATGAGGGAATAACTGTTCGGAGTAAGCAAAGCGGGCGGAAGATCTATCATGTTGAGATACTCCACGACAAACGGATGAAGGGGGAACCTCAAACCCTGGGAGAAGCTCATCGGATACACCCCGAAGTAACCGGGAGGCGGATCCAGAACATGGTCCGTCGGCCTCGGTGCCCTAACCCTTCCATAAGGTCCGACGTAGAGCTGAGCCACCTGATATTCACCTTGGGAACCCTCCGGCCTTATAATATAAAGATTCGTCAAATCCAGTTGCGAGATGCTACCAGATAAGCCCTTCCGACGGCGCGACTTCCCCACCTTGGATTTGGAAGAAGACGGAGCGATGCCAGGGACAGAGGTAAGCGGGGGAGGACAAGGAATAGCGGCCGAGGATGCATCGCCCGCATCGTCGCCACGAAGCTTGGGGTCAGAGCTTGCTTCGTCCTCACCAGATCGTTGAGAACCCGCATCGGCGCTTAGACGCTCCTCGTCCGCAGAGGTACGATAATCCGCAGTGTTTTCCATCTCAACCTCGAAAGCCTCCACCACTCTTAGATCAACCCCGGGGGATGTGTCGTCGTCAAAAGGCCAATCGGATTCGTTCAGCGAAGCTGTTAAGTCAATTGGGGAGGGGACGCTACGGCCGTCAGGGAACGGCATAACAATCGCTACGTCCTAGGGGTGGTTTTCGGATCAAAATGACTTTCCTAAAGAACACTAGATCTAACACCCTAAGGAGCAAAATATGGAGAAATCAAAGGAAAATTGAAATATCTAACCTTAGAAGATTTGAAGAATGCGGAGAACACTTGAAGATTTCTGGGAAGCACTTTATCTCTCTAGAAATCTCAGCAGCACTTCAACTCTAGCAAAAGCAAATGAGGAAGGGGCTTCGGAATGAGGGGGTATTTATAAACATCCTCCAACGGTCACTACACGTGGCGTCATCCCATTGGCTCCACCAACGGCCACCTCTCTTCCAACCAATCAAGGGGCGCCAATTCAAAATCACTCAAGCAAGCGCCCCTACGGCCCAACTCAGCCTTAAAAAAAAAAAAAAAAAAAAAAAAAAAAAAAGAACAGGGCATCGGCCGAGTATCACTACGGCACAAGTACTACAGAGCTTCAAAGCAAGCGTCGGCCCATACGGCCGAAAAAGGAACGCATTGGCCTAACTCCACGTCCTCACAACGACCCAGAAAACCTTAATAGACCGCTACGGCCGCTTGTGCGTGCATCGTCGATGATAACCCTGGCATTGCGGCCTTCGTCCAAGGGTTCTCCCACAGGGTTACCTTGGCAGGTTCGCCTAAGGGTTGGAGTCACGACTAACGCACAGGTGCCGAAACGGCTCATTACTCCCTTGTGCCTCAGATACTCTTCGGCCAAAGGAGTGGGGGACTGGGGGACTGCATCGGCCACAAGGAAAGAAAACGCAACGGCCTTAATGTAAAAGGATGCGCTACGGCGGCGTACACTGAGAGGACCGCATCGTCTCGCCATAACGAAAACTCACAAGTCAAAACGCTTCGGCCGCATAACAAAATCAAAGGTGCGCATCGCATCGTCTGCATAAATGGAATCAACCATCTCCATCTCATGAAAATATGTCACCGCTACGGCCAAAAGAATGGATGGGAGCTCTTCGGCCCCAACAAGATGACGACGAAAGCATGCCAACTTGTCCACACCAAAACTCATCACATCTACAGAAAAGAAAGCGCATCGCCTCGCCTTCGGAGGCACTCCCACAGAGTATGCATCGGCCCGCATCAAGGCTGTGAATTCCCAAGCGCGCTTCATCTACCTCAAATAAGGGAACCGCTTCATCCAAAATCAAAGCAGGAACTCTTCGGCCATCAAACGCCTTAGACTCACGCAACGGCCAGCCAGAAAGGAACAAGTACTCCCTTTCGCTTCGGCTTCACCTCAGCTCAGAGAGTGGGGGACTCCTGATAGAGTATATGGGCCTGGACCCCATGGCCCACATACTCAATGGCCCAAAAGACACCAGCTGGACACCCGCATCGGCCAGAGGCACGTAGCGTCCAAGAAAGAAGATATCGTCTGATTTATTTGGACGGCATCGTCCATGAACGGCATCGTCCATGGACCACATCGTCCATGGACCGCATCGTCCATGGACCGCATCGTCCATGGACCGCATCGTCCATGGACCGCATCGTCCATGGACCGCATCGTCCGAACTTCGCCCGGACAGAATGTATTTTCCTATTTTATGTACTAAGTGTTGTACTCAGCCCATTAGTGGCCTTATTCGCCCAAAGAAGGCATGATTATTGTAATGGGCCTCCTAAGCCCAAGGCTAGGGGCCCAAATCTGCGTTTTTACCTATAAATAGACCCCAAGGGGCTAATTATAGGGGATTCCTTTCCAATTGGAGAAATATAATTACTCACTTTCTCTCTCTAGCTCTCACTTCTCTCTAGGATTAATACGCTATCATATAGAATAACTAGCGTTTCAAGTATAAGACCCAAACATAGGATGATACATATACGTATAGTCCTTCCCCCAAGTTTGAAATACATATTAGTATACATACACTTGGAAATACCCGACCCGTAGGTCATTGTTTATTTGGGAAAATAATAGTAGCCAATATCCTTGACTTAAATCCCAACCCACCCATATACCTATGAGTGTATAGAACTCCTCCTTGTTCAAATAAATTATCATAAGGACACCGCCCGGTCCTAGATCATTAAATGTAATCTATGAGTTTTGAGGATACACGCCCGATCCTTGGGTACTCCACCCTATAATTGAGTTTTGAGGATAACCGCCCGATCCTTGGGTACTCCACCCTATATAACTGAGTTTTGAGGATAACCGCCCGATCCTTGGGTACTCCACCCTATATAACCGAGTTTTAAGGATAACCGCCCGATCCTTGGGTACTCCACCCTATATAACCGAGTTTTGAGGATAACCGCCCGATCCTTGGGTACTCCACCCGACCTATGACTTACCACATATCACGCTAGATAGGGTCTATATCATATTTAGTCATTCATAACTAATTCACTACATAAAGCTTATGTATCACAATCCATGCAAATCCATGCAACCATATAAATGTATAATTAACTAATATCAACCGATATTAATTAATCCATTAACCATCGGTCAACGTTGTTGTTGACCGCCATCTCAAGTCTTACACTTATTAACTAATTCATCATATAATTAAGTTAATAATATCCATTTGTGCTTCTTTTACTCTTAAAGCAAATATGCATTATATATAATTTCTCATATCATATTTCATGCATAAACAATTATTCTTTTCATACGCACTTAACTATGTTAGCTAATCACATGTTTGAATATCTTTTGAACATCATTATGAACACATATAACATTTATTTAGGTAATCTCATAATTGACCCAAAAGTTATAAGATATTAAGCCGTCCACTCACCTTGAACTAGCGTTAAGAAGTTCTACCCTTCTTGGTTGAACTCCGGTGAAACTCCGGCGACTTTTGGTCAACTCCGGCGACAATTCCGGCGACTTTTCCAACTTTGTGAAATCACTTGAAATACCCTTTACAAGTGCCTAACAAGGTTTTATAATCATAAAACCCATGTTAATACAAATAACCTCAAAAAGGTTATTTTCCGGTGAACCGGTCGTTTTGACTTCTAAGTCCGTTCTTGGACATAGAATCACTTCCCAAACCATAAATCCATACTTATAACATGTAGAACCCTCTTAAGGATCCTTCACATGATATATATCTTATATGGTAGAAGAAAAATAAAGGAAAAGTTATAATAAGGTCATTACCTTAATTGTTCACACCTTTCCCAACCTTTTTCCTTCTCCAAACACTCCTCTTTGGACCTTCTTCCTTGAGCTCGAATTTGGGTGTGAAAATGGTGAATTGTAGAGCTCCCCCTTGCTATTCTTGGTTGCTTGGTCGAGCCAATGAGTGAGGGAGGGGAGGGGATGGCTCTCTTTGTCTCATTTGGCAAATGAGTGAGGAAAAGGGCCCCTTTGGGTGTACCTTTGATGCCCAAGCCTCCTCCTCCACACTTTCCTTAGTCAACTCCAGCCCATCCTTGCCTACTCTAGCACAAAAACGTGGGGTGGCCCCCACTCATGTGGGAGGTCATCCCTTTGTGTCCCGACGTGTACAATCGGTCCCGAAAGTTGTATTTTTCGGACTGTTTTAATCATATTTTATTTTATCGGGTCAAATAAAATATATTATGTGCTCTTACTCATTATGACATGTATAATGAATATACATTCCCCAACTTTAATTTATAAGCCTCCGAAATTCATTTCCGGGCTGTTACCGGTTAAATTGTCGGTACCGGTAATTGGGCCTCTTTTTCCCAATCGGTCAACTCTACGCCTCGCCACGACCCAAATGAAATACTCACCACTATATAAATATTATCTTGACCAAGATGAATAAAATATGTGGTCTCGGGAGTGTCGGGCGGCCCCGCTCCCGGTGTGGGTCCCACGTGCAATTTACTATTCACGCGAAAGAAATAATAAAAATTTACAACTTCGTAAATTCATTAATCCTTTAATAAGGTTCGATACATTATTTACATAAAAGTAAATATATTTGGGGACGGTGTTACAAAATTACTCTTTTAAAGCTTGTATTCATTCAATGCATGGCTAGTTTATTGCCTCAAGGACATGCAGAAAAAGGCATGAACCATACAAAGGAAAACGAGTACAACTACAAGCTTCTTCAGGTAATGCCTTGCCCCATTACTAGCTTCTTCATCTAAGTTTATACTTCACTATATTCACTTTTAGTCGTTCAAATTTTCTTTTGATAGATGTTCAAATTAATGACTACATATTTTACTTTGGGTTTCTGAAAAATTTCCTAGTTTTTATGTATTTGAGTAGCTTAGTTGGTTCAAGTATCTAGTCTCCCTCACTTGAGATTTTCTTTCTTCAAACAGTTATAGTAAATATCAATAAGACATTTGCTAATTAAAATTAGTCCTTTAAAAGCAAAGAAATTAGACTTATATTTTACATATAGAGAAGTCGGTTCTTGTTTGTCATTAGTTCTAGCATAGATTTACAAGAAATGTGTACAAGAGAACACTATTGTTGTAGGAATATCAAGCAACAATAATAATTAAATACTGAATTTCAGGTAATAAGTCCACAGCTTCTATTTCAAATAAAAATTCATGGATGTCTCCTATGGGCTTCCCTAGGCTTCTTGATGCCTATTGGTATTTTGGTTATAAGAATGTCTCAAAGAGAGGAATTTGGAAGGAAGATGAAGATCAATATGTTCTATGCACATTTGTCCTAGAGGCAAGTACTTTAATTACAATTCGCGGAATCAAGATAATTGTGTGTGATAGAGAGCGGAAAGAGCATGGGGCGGGAACGGGCTTGGGCCCACGGAAGTTAGTTCTTATGGGCTGGGTTATCTGTGGGCTGAGTTTTTAATTTAATTATTAGCTTCAATTAAGTTAGTTTTTTTATTATTGTTATTTTATTATTGTTATTTATAACGGAGTATATTAGAATTCCCTTAGGCTAGGTGCGTATGTTTTAACCCTCCCCTTGGGCTTTGACGCTTTGTGCGCAGGTCTGTTTCTCACTGGGATAGACTACGTACAATTATTTAACTTATTTAGTTTCCTACTGGAACTAGGATGTTTGTAGTACTATTTATACCCACGCAGGGCTTTTCAATGGATAATGAATAAAATTCAGATTTATTAGCTAAATTAGCTTGGGCAACGGATTCTTTCCTTGATTATTCTGGGCAACGGTTTACCCCGTTATTTTATTTTTCTGCTTCACATCATTCTGTGATCCAAGAGGGTTGATATTTTTAATATACATTTCCCATTTTATTTTGCATGAAAATAGAACAAAGTATTCACATTTTACAATCATCTCCACTTTAGTCTTTTTCATCATACACAGCAACCTCTATCAGATCCTTTAATTAAGCTGCAATAATTGTCAAATGGTTCACATGGTAAGGGGCAGACCAAAAAACTTCATATGGAAGAGCCAAAAAAAATGATTTGTTTCATTTAGTTGCGGGCTTCATATTTTAATACACTTTCTTCATCCCCAAATTGTGTGGTTTTGTAGTTTTATACTTAACAGACTACTTTTCAAATGACATAAACCTTTCACAAATTGAATCATAAGATTTGATTTCATAGCAGAGTATGTTCTACACATACTTGTTGTCCTCCTTGCAACCGTAGGAGCAGCATTGTCCATAAAAAACTTCGACTACTCCTTTATCAACAGCCAGGGGCGTCTTTAGCATTTCGGAGGCCCTAGACAGAAAAATACTTACTAAGCACAAATGATATGGAAAATGTGATAAATTGAATAAACAACACCATATGAAAAAACATATTCAAAGTGTACGATATAATTCTTTGACATTCAAAAGGATAACTTTTTTTAAAGGCAAACATATGTAAAATACATCACAAACTTGTACTTGTAACACCCTATTGGCCTATTTTTCTTGCCTTTTGAAGTGCAAGATCAATAATAATATCACTTTTATTCTTCTAAATACAATGACAAATTAAACAAATTAATTACTAGTCTACTACCAATACCATCAAATTAGTTATTTCATGTATTTATCAATTATTATCTTATTCATCTAATACATACTTGTACTTCATATAACAATATACTCCGTACAATGTGTTATATTGTCAGTAACTCAATATCAATATAGCAATTTAAGTATTTAACAAAATTAATTTTAAATGGTAATTTAGGAACCAACCTCAAGTAGTAAATACTCCCTAATTTAGTAAATACTCCCTATCTGCGTATACTTTACAGCCTGTAATTTAGCCTTATCCTTTATAGGCTGGCAGGCTTTAATCACGACAATAGGGCAATATGAAAAATCAGTGATACTCCATTTTGGGGTTACACCTTTATCTACATGTATGAAAAAAATCAATAAAATCATAGAGAAAGACTGAAAGAGACTCACGACACACAGAGTCAGAGTTGACCGACGGCGGCCGGCGAGGCGATCGGAGTCTTCGGAGAATTGCTGTTCGGTGGTCTGATTTCTGGAAACTCAGAACGTCGTGCGTTCACACGCTAGGTCTTTCTAGCTTCTTCCACAGATGATCAGAGGCGTTGGTCCCTTAGAAGACTTGAAGCAGTAAAATATTTCACATATCCAGAGTAATACTAATAGATTAAAACTTTTTGGGGCCCTATGGGAATGTGAGGCCCTAGGCATTTGCCTGGCCCAACTCCCCCCACATCCGCCTCTGATACTCTACAGCCTGTAATTTAGCCTTATCCTTTATAGGCTGGCAGGCTTTAATCACGACAATAGGGCAATATGAAAAATCAGTGATACTCCATTTTGGGGTTACACCTTTATCTACATGTATGAAAAAAATCAATAAAATCATAGAGAAAGACTGAAAGAGACTCACGACACACAGAGTCAGAGTTGACCGACGGCGGCCGGCGAGGCGATCGGAGTCTTCGGAGAATTGCTGTTCGGTGGTCTGATTTCTGGAAACTCAGAACGTCGTGCGTTCACACGCTAGGTCTTTCTAGCTTCTTCCACAGATGATCAGAGGCGTTGGTCCCTTAGAAGACTTGAAGCAGTAAAATATTTCACATATCCAGAGTAATACTAATAGATTAAAACTTTTTGGGGCCCTATGGGAATGTGAGGCCCTAGGCATTTGCCTGGCCCAACTCCCCCCACATCCGCCTCTGATACTCTACAGCCTGTAATTTAGCCTTATCCTTTATAGGCTGGCAGGCTTTAATCACGACAATAGGGCAATATGAAAAATCAGTGATACTCCATTTTGGGGTTACACCTTTATCTACATGTATGAAAAAAATCAATAAAATCATAGAGAAAGACTGAAAGAGACTCACGACACACAGAGTCAGAGTTGACCGACGGCGGCCGGCGAGGCGATCGGAGTCTTCGGAGAATTGCTGTTCGGTGGTCTGATTTCTGGAAACTCAGAACGTCGTGCGTTCACACGCTAGGTCTTTCTAGCTTCTTCCACAGATGATCAGAGGCGTTGGTCCCTTAGAAGACTTGAAGCAGTAAAATATTTCACATATCCAGAGTAATACTAATAGATTAAAACTTTTTGGGGCCCTATGGGAATGTGAGGCCCTAGGCATTTGCCTGGCCCAACTCCCCCCACATCCGCCTCCACCAGAGAATGGGATTAGCCCTTTACATCGCCGTGTGGTTGCAAACCTTAACTGTGATTCTACGGCCAAACCGGTAAGGCATCTTCATACATTAGAAACTCGAATTAATTATGAGATATAAATATTGTAAACTTTTAAGTCATTCTTTGAGTGTAGGGAAAGGAGAGGAAGGAGTGGATGGTTTTTTGGTCATTGGTTACTTGGGACTTCACTCTCATTACTGGGAGCTGTGAACACATACACTGGCCTACAAGCCTATCACAAGAGAACATCAAGAAGTATAAACTTTTGGACCATAATCTTCTTCGCTCAGATTTCTCTTGTCGTTTTTTTGTATCTATTTCAAGAAAAGTGGAACTATATCAAGAAAGCCGGAAAGGTTAAGGGGAGCAATGATGAAGTACAACCTACATATCAAGAAACACTTCCTGGAGATGAGAAAAAGAAAATATTGCCCTGGCCAGCCACAATGCTTGAAATTACCTCAAAATACCATAAATTTGTATACTAAATTTAAGTTATGATTACAATTCTTAAATAAATATCCATGCTTTTATGACATTTGGGGTAAATGTGCATTCTGTTTTTGTAAAGGAGATGGTCAGATGGGGTAAATAATAGTGATACTCAAAAAAAGTACTTTGGAGTGACTCCACTGTGGATCGAACCCAGAATCTCTGGTTTCGTAGACCAGCGCCTTATCCATTGGGCCATGAAGTCTGCTTGGTACCAGGTGACATCATAACTTGCATTTTGATGTAATGCGCAACTTTTCACAACGAACATGCAACGGGGCAATTCTATTTGGTGATTTCGCCAAGAGAATATCCAGATTGTTCAGAGTTTTAAATCGCTTAAAATAACCACAATGACAAAACCAACATTCCACTCCACCAGAGGCAGAGAGTCAGAGACTAATCAAATAACCACAATAAATAATTACTTTTTACTCACTAACAAATTCGAATCTTCCGCTACAAAATGAAAGAATCAAGAGCGTTTCACCTGCTTTAAAATTTACAGTGTAATTAGCTAAACCTTGCAAGAAGTAAATTCTATTCCGTATCTTTTAAGGGTTCAACTTTCATTGCCTGAAACTGAAGAACCAAGTTTCAACATCAACGGATAAACGGGAGAGAACTCCTTATCCCCCCTAATCCGCACCTTTGCAGCATAATCATCCAATGCCGCCTTTATCCCTCTCCAAATCTGATCCTCCCCTTGTGAATCCATCCAAAGAGAATACTGCAAAGGAGACAGCTTGTTCCTTTGCATAGGCGACTGCAGTTCATCCGGGCCCCGCGAGAACAGGTGGTGAAGGATGACACTTGGAGGAAGATCTTGAATAAGTGGGGACGATTCGAGCTGAGATGTTTCAAGGAAAATGACGGGGCGGAACGCTCGGAGTGCCCTGTAAGGCCCACCGAGCTGTTCGACCGGGAAAAGGTTCTGACCAACCACTAGCTCCAGCTCAGCCATATCTCTCGCCATCCTCAGCTTGCCAGATTCTGATAGCGGTCTGACCAGTGAGGCATGTCGGATAAAGAATGTCAAAACACGAGATGCTACACTCCTCACTAGCCTGGTGCATATGGTTTCTGTGGAGGAGGAGAGGGGATTTGAAGAAGAAGGTGGCAATAGTCTTGACAAGAATTCAGACCGGAAATGGACAATGCTCTTCTGTAACTCCTCCATGTAGGGTGATGCATTGTTGTTGTCCATGCCAAGTGTCCCGAAATTCTGGTCGTGGATTTTTAAGATGGAAGCTTCTAGGCGATCCAACATTGTTTGGAATAAGGATGTGACAGAATCGCCCGCCACACCATAGATTGTACCCAATGCAGGAGAGAGAACATCGGATGCAATGGTTGGAAGTCCAGCCACGAGTGATGACACCCTGGCATGAACTTCTTGGAGGTGCTGACACAATGCAAAGTTTTTTAGCTGTGCAGAGGTGGCTGGGCCCGTGACTTGGCGTGCTTCAGGTCCTGCGGATATCTGATGCCCAGGAAAATAATATCAAAAAAATAAGGAACACAATGTCTTGTAGGGTTTCACTTTATTCAAATTTACAGGCTTAAATATGTTTTTCATCCTTCTGAATATAGCGTTTATAAGTCCCTGGGAAAATGCAATTTTTTAACTTAAATTTTGTTAAACATCATCCCTGTAATTAATGTCATTTGATTATAAGTCCCTCACCATCAACCTGTGTTGAAAAAAACTGATGTGCCACGCAGAACAATTCCAGTATTGCTTTTCCCACCATTTTAAAAGATGCTTTTTTTTTTCAAAATCTGGAAGTGTGAAACATGAGTTCTGTTGTAGACTAACTCCCATAATAGTTTTCAGTGAGTTATAAAATTTTGTAAAATTTGTGTGTATAAAGAAGGCTCAAATATGTTTTTCATCTCTGTCAATATAACATTTTTGTTTTATGTCACTGAAGTTTTTTTTGGCGATTCATCAATTTACAAAGTTCTCTTTTGAATCCCTCTTCAACAACCTTAGTTAAAAACATCACATGACTCTACAAAAGGTCATCATTACCACTCTGTTTAAATCTTTATTGTTTTTAGGTAAAAGGGTCAAATAGGGCCTCGAACTTACATACAAAGGTCAAATAAGGCCTTATATAGGAGGTTCTGTCCGGCCGTCGCCATTTGGGGCAGTTCCCGATGAAATTTTTTGATGAAATTTTTTGAGCATCTTATTCATCAAGTCTAGTTTACTCATTCCATATGTCAGCCAAAACTTCAATCGGAAAGGCATTCAAATAAATTCTTGAAGATAACTGCGCTTTTAACTGCACAGTTATCTCCAAGAATTCATTTGAATGCCTTCCTGATTGAAGTTTTAGTTCAAATTTGATATGAGTAAACTACACTAAATGAATAAGATTCTCAAAAAATTTCATCAAAAAACTCCACCGAGAACCGCCCAAATGGCGTCGGCTGGGCAGAGCCTCCTATATAAGGCCTTATTTGACCTTTTTATGTAAGTTTGAGACCCTATCTGACCCTTTTCCCTTGTTTTTAAATGAAGGTTTAAGAAGAAGGGCTAAGAAAACAGTTTAAATTACAGGATGAATAACCAAAAAAATGAAGGGATCCAAAACAAAGTTACAAACATGCAATATTTGTTGGGACAAAGAATATAGAAGCCATGAAATAATAATGGGCAATTAAGAATCTGTTTGGCTGGGGTGAGAAGTTTAAAAAATTATACCTGATATTCTGCTCTTTCAGATAGCAGAAGCAGGGCTTTGTTAATCTCACGCAAGACGAGAAGAGTCAGCCGAGCATCCATATGTACGGATTCGATCTCCTCCTGAATTCGTGATATGATCCTGTAGATATTTTCCTTTGACGGAATGCTTCCCCGACTAGACATGGAGAACACAGAATTAACAAGATCAGAGAGGCGGCTCAAGCAGAGTGCCAAGAAGGCAGTCTGAAACGGCTCAATGGCAGAAATCATTTGATCTTTAGCTTCAGAAGTAAGAGCTGCAGGAACTCCTTTCACATCCGTGTCACGTGAAATTCTTTCGAGTAGGTTCTCTATCATAGACAAGAGCTTCGGGTACCCAACCGTGAAGGTTTCTTTCACAAAACTGGAAGCAGTGAAAGTGGATTTCATCTGGCTTGCAAAAGATTTCACAAGTGCCTCCCAAATACGCACTGTTAGCATAGGATCGTCATCCTGATTATGTATGAAGATAACATGTGTTACTAAGAAAAGTAAATAAGTGCAACAGAAGATAAATACTTTTCAAAAGAAGGAAGTATTATTGGGTTTCTTACACCCTAGTGACCCTACTCCCACTCTCACCCTCCTTTAATGTTCTAAACAAATATAGCTTAATTATAGTTTATTATAGTTTAAAAGTTTTAAAAAAATATATAAATTTGAAACAATCTTAATCAAACAGACCCTGAAATATCATGGTGTCCTGACTCGGCATAATCAGCAGATCACATTTTACACATTTTTTCATTTTGAAAGAGAGAAGTACAACAAAGATAGGAATTGCAGAGTGAAGTAGTTCAATCAACTTTGAGGTCAAGGGATATCACAAGGTTTATAACATGTCCACATATCACCAAAGAAAAAAAGAAAGTAAATGCTACTGCCTCCATCCCAAAACTGTATTCCCAGTTTAATTGGCACACTTGCATAGAAAGTGAAATTGTATCGTTGTGCTTGATTTAAAAAGAAGAATATGAGAAGAAAATTTTAGGGCATCTCAAAAAGAAAATTGCAAAGAAAGTTCTGGGACTGAGGGAGACTCACTAGTCACTCCTCATGGAGCTCTACATGTAGGTTGGTTGACAATCTTAGATTTTGAATTAACAGTGGATTAAAAGAACATTTTTAATGAATTAAAAAAAAATTGTTTCACATTTTTCTTGTAACAAGTTTCAAGAAAAATGTGAAACAATTTCTACAAAAACTTTAAGTGCATTATTTAAATGAGAGCTACAACTCTACAAGAACTCCATTCTGACTTGTACCAAACCTTTAACCGTATAAACCACAGTATAAGGCAGTCTTTGAAGAGCAAGCTCACTATTTAAGCAATTGGCCAATGCATCCTTCTCCTATAATGGTTGAAGTAATTCAACCAAACCATTGGCTACATCTTGCTTTAACGGTGTTGATTATTGACTGGTGGTTGTGTGTGTTTTGCTCACTACTATACTTAAATTGGAATATCAGTGCTTTCAACCACAAGTGGAATTTTTCGGATCCAACAGAATGGTGCAGAATTGTAATGATATGAAATGAAATTTTTCAGTAAAAACTTCACCATTGCTAATGAACCCATAGCCAAATACTGGAAAGAGAAAAAGATAATCTAATCAAAGCATACGCACTACTTTATGCATACAACTTTTAATAGTTGGCTAGACTTGCTTAAAAGAAAATACGGGTCACCACCAAGCAATTATGAAAAACAAATTTAAGGCCACATATCCACAGAACATTCACCCAAACATAGTGACACTGTAAACACATATATAGGTAAAAAAGAAAGAAATGGTCACAAATAATCTCATTGGAGACAAGAACAAACGTGCAGCCACACAACCAAATTAAGGACGTTTTTACTCAAAACACATAGCATCATTAGTATACACACTAATGGAAACTCTCTTTCAAGAGCAGACATAAATTTACCCAAAGTCTTACTTAAAGAATAAGTAAAATTTGATTGCATCTCTTTGGCTTTCTAGAGTTGAGCCCAACAGAATCGAGAAAATTGAGAAGAAATAAGAAGTTCCAGTTCTCACTAACCTGCATGACCTCATCAAGAAGCAAAACATGAGTGAACGGATCTCTTTTCTTGGACAACACCCTTTGTAAATGCCAAACTGCAACAACAATGGAATGCAACTGATCCATACAAGAACTCATCCTTTGCCACAGAGCTTCCTTAGCCTTGGCGCTTCCCCCAAGCTGGGGGGTGCCACTCCTCTGCACACCCCCTGGCCCATACCCCCCACCTGCAGATACTGCCTTCATATCCAACGATGTGTTTATACTCTTCACACCCAACCCCTTGTACTTGCTCACCAATCCATCCACAGTCCCTCTCAGTTCCCCCATGTTGTAAAAAACTTGCAGGCCAGCCCCTACATCTGCCTGGTTCAGATCTTCTAGCCCTTTCTCCAACACACGCATTCCTTCACTCCTTAATTTCTGCCCAATTTCAGTTACCCATTTCAATTCCGAATCCACTACATCGATCCCAGACAAATGATGCTCGTTATGGAGTGACAGTATCTCGAAATGAAGCTGGGCAGCTTTCGATATATCGAGCTTATCCTGGTCTTGTGTGGAATCCATGAGATCGCGAAGCTTTTTTGAAAGACGAAGGAAGCGAATTGTGGACTGGAGAAGCTCAGAGGTTGAGTGGAGGTTTGAGAGCTGGAGAGTTTTGCTGGCAATGACGCGATGTGGATCGGAGAGCTCAGACCGTACTCGTTGTACAGAAGACTGGAGGGAGGAGACGGAGGATCGCAGGGTGGAGAGAGCGGAGTCCGTGGCGCGTATAGAAGAGAGCTGGTTGAGGAGATCCTCGTGACGGGAGAGGACTTCATGACGTAGCTGAAAATCGAGGAGACGCAAGCCTTCCTGGAGCTTCTCAATGCGGGATGCGGCGGATCCGGACGAGAGAGCGGCAGAGGAGAAGCGGGCCGAATCAAAATCAGGAGATAGGAATGCGGAGAAAATTTGGTCGGATGCGAACGAGTCAAGAGGTGATGCAGGTGAAGGGGAGAGTAACGCCGGAGTGACTGCGGTGGTTGGAGTGGGAGTTATCCCGGCGGCAGACGGAGTCGTTGCATTCAGTGATCTATCCTTGAGATTGGAGAGACGTTGGAGGGGAGAAGCAGCAGTGGGAGATGCGGCGGTTGAATACGGGGATCTCTGAATCGCCGGGGAAGCCATTGATTCAGGGCGGAGAGATCGTTTGAGCTATTATTATCAGTCTTCCCTTCCGAGCAACAGAAAAAAAAACGGAAGTGAAATAGAATAATCCTTTTTTTTCTGATTAGGCCCCTCTCGGATGGGGCAAAAGTTAATTACCAAAGAATATAGTGGGTAATTTCATAAAATAACATAAAATAAAAGTTACACGTGGCAGCCTGTCACCACGCCCTCATATACCCTCTCGGCTACAGGTTCAAATCGGATTCCGAGCCCGAATCACAAAACGGACCCTAAACCACTCTCGTTCAACGAGGTTTCGAAGCTCGTCTCTCTTCTTCTCTCCGATCCTGCTGATCCATTAGGTAATTCTCCTTCTCTATCTCACAAATCTCATGCCTCATCAGAGCATAATAAGTGCATAATTAGCATAGTAATTAACGTAATCAGATTAAAATTAGGCAATATGAAGTGATTGGCATTCGCTTTACAGGTGTTTGTACAAGTGCTATAAAAAGTATGCTATGAGAATGGTGTTGTGAGATTGCCACACAGAAAGGTATGCCATAGATCACTTATGTGGTTTTCAGAAAGACCAAAACTTGTTAAACCTATCCTCAAGCTTCTTGCAAAATGACATTTTTCTCAACTTTTTCAGTTTTTTGTTGTTGTGACTTGTGAGGTTTCAGTTTCTTTCTGGGAAGAGTATTAATGAAATAAAAGAAAAGTGTTGTCAAGGAAAAACAGGTTGAGTTGCCCAAAGAAGCTGCTGGAGAAAAGATTAACTCTTCTCTGTAAAAAAGTCTACCATGCCCTCCTCAGTCATGTAAGTGAATGGGGATTGTTTTCTATACATTTTAGGTAGAAACACTTCAATCTCATGCACTTGTAAATGCTAGTTCATTAGTTCATATAACATCTTCCTGACTTATTGTGTCATTCATGTACAAGAGATATGTAAACAACTTCCATAGTTAGGTATAGTGTGTCTTCTAGCGATTGTAATTAATAACAACATATTGCATACTTCTAAATCTCCTCTCACAAAAGTCATGTGAGCATTCCTAATATCTGTTTTTCAATCTAATATTCCTTTGCAAAACTCAATAGTAGAATCTCCCCGGTGCAAAACAAAGATGGTGGCAATGCACATGAAGTCCCAAAGTCAGCAGTTGTTCCTCGGCAACAAGGAACCACGAGTGCGCAAACTTTAAACTTGCCAAAAGCAGTTACTACATCAGCAGGAGGTTCAGATGAATTTAAGTATGGGTTTCCATCAGATGTTGGCTTGTCGGTTCTCTCCTATAGATGGTGGGGAAGCGGAAGTTCTGATCCTAATGAAGATGACATTAGAAAAGAAGAAGAAGACGTTTCTGAGGAAAGAAAGCAGCAATTAGCAGAGCCCATGGACAAATCTGAGCAAGATTTAAATACAACTCATAAAATAAATCCAGATTTAGTAGGAGCTGGTTTACTGTCCGAGTTGAGAGAAGCAGCTGCCAAAGAAGGGAAAGAAGCTTTGAGGGTTGGAGTCTATCGGGGGCAGCATGGTCTATTCAAACTAGATTTGACCAAAAGAATGGTGCTTCTTCAAGCATTTAAATCTTCATAGCCTGAATCTCTGTGTTCTTCCCTTCACACGATGAAGGGACCGGAATGTCTTGTTTTCAAGACAGGAAATATAAAGTTGGCTATAACCTAATTTTCAGGATGCCTAGAAGTGATGTCCTATATCCACGATGCCTAAGAATGATTTCATGTACTGCGTATTTTCCTTAAAGGATCACTTAAGTGTTAATTTTTGTATTGCCAAGTAGAACAAAAACTCCTACCTCAATCAGACGATTCTTGACCATATTCCATTGCTAAAAAAGTGATGGTCTTTGCTTCATCTTCGACAACCTGGATGAAGTTGGGTCTAGGAAAGTTAAACGAATGACCGTAAATATCACTGAGATCTAGCTGCTTCTGTTTGGAGAAGAACATTCGGCATAAAGATGATGAATTCAAAATAAAATCGCAAGGGAAAGACGAGATAAAAAAAAAAGAACCTCAGCAAATTTCATGTGGTGGCGAGTAATCTCTCTTGCCAATCGTCAATTTTAGGTACTGGTGGTTACCATCATTTGCACTGTTTTATTCAACTAGTATCAGGGGCGGATCCAACGTAGGGGCGGGGGGCAGCTGCCCCCACTCAAACCCCACCCTACCCCTATATATACATATATATTTAATCTACAATTATATTTTTTTGTGCTGCATATGAAGGACTTATACACTAATTATGGTGTTTGTGAGTGAAGTAACGTTTGGCCAAGCGGTTGATGTACTTCGTGTATTCAGCCGAGCAACACCCTATCCCTAGGTCGAGGGATCGATTCCCTGGTCTACTTTTTATTATACATTTCTCATTTTGGTCCTTTTGAAGCTTTTGAATGAATTTAAGTGGTTATTATACATTATTGTTATGATTTAAAATAATAACAATATTTTTTTTTTCTAATTTGTAAGATTTAAAATATTTTAATGTAGTTAGAATTTTAGTTTCACATATATTTTGTAAAGTTCATTTTTGCAATTAATATAAACTATTTTCTACATTTGTTTTACTATATATACTTATATATATCATTATATCCACAACTTAAATTAATTCTAAATACATCCCTCCCTTATATGATTCATTATTTATTAACATAATACTCACTCTGTCCCGAAGTAAACGTCTTGTTTGCTTTAGGACAAGTTTTAAGAAAGTGATTGAAAAGGTAAAATTAAGTTGTGATTGAGATTTGAGTAGAAAAATGTGAATTAATATGAGTAACACATTATTGCCAAAAGGGGAAACAAAACAATTATTTTGGGATGGACCGAAAAGGAAAGTAGGAAAGTTATTTCGGGATGGAGGAAGTATGAAATAAAATAAAAAATTGGTGACTTGTTTATTACTGATATAGTGAAATTTATTAAGTATGATATCATAAATTTTTTATTGAACAAATATTTTGTTATTTATAGATAATTTTACAATATTTTTTAAAATTGTTTCACTGTTAGTGAAATTTCTTAGATAATAAATTTTTAGTACGAATTCGCCCCCACTCGCGGAAATTCCTGGATACGCCACTGAGTCTAGTATAACACCCATGCGATGCAAGGTTGGTGAAATTTCATTAGTATAATTAATTTAGATAAATTCGAAATAAAAAACAAACTTTTAATTGTAATTGAATTGTTTAGAACTATACTATGTACAATAATAAAAAGTAACGTAAAGTGAAATATATTCAATATGATTTACCAATAATTATCTAGTAGTACCCAATTTTTATATAGCCTCACAAAATAGTAAGTAACATGCATTATAATTTGAAAACACCTTACATTCCATGTTAAATGTTGTGAAACACTTCTCTATACACAACATTCTCGGTTTCAATAATGCTCTCGTGTCATCGTTTAAATTGTGATTTTTTACTGCTTGATGATTGAATACCCTTGACATAATCACGTAAAGTTGACCAACTCGCGACAACGACAATCTTTGACTTATATTTATAGTCATGGGAAAGGAAGTGGTCTAGTGAAAGGTTTATTATTGTTTGAATACTAATATAGGCAATTTTCTTCTAAAAAAATAGGGTGGCGATATATTTATAGGAATTGTGTTTTTTATACGAATTGCACGTGTAAGCAGACAAATAGGGGGTGTACAAAAATGTAAAAGTGTGTTATGTCATACTTAAATTATACAACAAATATAAATAAATTTATGGGAGATGCTTAACAGGTCCTACAATTTCAAACACGTCACTTTGACATATTTGGGATATCTTACATTTGTGATGAATCCAGGCCAATAAATTTGCCGATGAGCCTGTAATCCTGTATATTGAAATGGGCCACTTCATATTATGCCTATTATTGCAGCCTTGTACGATTTTTTAAAACAATTTTTTTTAAAAAAAAATCCTTTAAAACGACTAATTCATAAACCTATGATGTCGTAAATAATGAAAAAGTTTAAAATATTATACTTGTATTTGAAAACGCCATATTCGAATAATTACGTGCTAATTAAACAGCTAATCTAAAAGTATACTACTGCCTTCTCCCATAGAAAGGTTCATCATTCTCATTTTAGAAGACAATTAACAATTTTAAAAGACAAATTAATCATTAAATATTAAATATAATACATTTATGACACCACAATTATCAACACTACCTCATTATAATGTGTACATGTTGAAATAATTTCTCAAAATTTATTTAAACTACCTTATTTAGTTATTATCTAAATAATTGTATCATTTTATCATGAGAATGAGACAAAAGTAGTAAATAAGAGTAATCTATAATTCAAATAGGAACTAAAGAGAGATCAGTGAATTCCAAATGTCTATTTTGATGTCGATTTAACGATTTTATTAAATAGATTGATTACCTTTTTAAAAATAAGCAATTCCTTTAAAAAAAACGAAAGTGTTACTATGTACTCCGTATTATTTTTGAGTGACAAATCTTTTTTTAACAGAGTGAAACAATTGTTGTACCCAAAAAATATGACGCTGATTTGTTTTGTAAGAAAAATGTTTTTTTAGAGATTTGGCTATCTATTTATATATAAGAAAAGAAATAGCTCATAAAAATACTATTTTACCCTTCATTAATCCTATGTGTCAAACTCTCCACAATTCTCTCATTTTCTATAAAAATGACACGTGGCTTTTTTCACTCCAAAATACCGAATTTTCCAATTTTGAAATGGAAGGGGAGCAGCCGTGGGATTTTCAGTTGGTGGGGCCCAACCAATAAAAAACCCCAATTTTTTTAAAGTATTATAACTTTTTCATTTTTGTTCCAATTTTTACAAAAATCATATCAAAATTCATAATTTTTTGTGATCTTTCATATGAGATCAATATTGAATATATACAAATATAATTTATTAACGATCTCTATAATTATGCTTATAACTATCTATATTCAATTTATGATCTATTTTGTTGTCTCAATAAAGGAAGTTTTTTAGCTACTTTTCATATAATGTTTTTCTTAATTTCATTAATAAAATTATTTTAAATTAAATTTATCTATAAACCAATGGATTCAACTAATTCAACCGCTTTTCATATAATTTTTTATATACTTCATTAATGAAATATAATCTAAATTCAATTCATCCATAAATCTAAAGAATCAATTTCAACCAATTCAGGCATTTTTATGAGAATTTCATCAATTTCAAAAGGACGAGACAATTTAGCCGGCCAATTTCAGTGTTACTAAACCGGCTCTAAGTATCAAAATTAGAACATGAAAGAAACAATAGATCAGTGGGTAATAAAAAGGGGCTTTTTGAAAAAAGGATTTCTTAACAATAAAAAATGAGAATCTTGAAAAATCACATTTCATAATTAAAAATCAACATGTTGAAATAATATCTCTATGATAGTAACATGTATGTGATTCAAAGCTACAAATATACTGAATTTGATTACTATTGTGAACTTTCAATTTTGTACATACAAACGAGACAGACTTATGAGCATGCTCTATTGATCAAATATTATTCCTGAAAAGATCTCTATAATGTACATAGTCATAGAAAGAGTACCATATAATTCCTTGACTTCAAATCATATTTTTAGTCATGTTCATAGTATCATAGTTTTGGTGAGAGAGAATCAAAGTTGATTTACCAATGAATGACAAAATGATATGGTTCTTATAGAATTGAGGAGAAAATTTTAGGTATAAGATAAGTCGATTAACAATTGAGTGAGAGAAAATTATCTATCTCATGTGTAATGATTTCAGGAAATAGAGTTTAAAAAATAATGTCAAACTTGCTAAATAAAGTCATATATACATTATATGCATTACCTTCCTTAAAGTAGTATTTTTAGAGGTCGGGCGTATCATTTTTTTAAACAATGTCCATAATGTAATAAAAGATCACACAATTAGTAGGACGAGAAAATTTACATGTGAATCGATCAAATCAAAAGTTCATACTATTCATAACGTTCGTTTGGTAAAACTGAAATTGACTAGATCGGTTGTTCCGCTGAAATATAATTTATGAAGTTTTGGCTAAAATGACTGGTTTGCTAATTATGTTGTTTATGGAAAATTATATTTAAAATGTACAAGGACACCAAAGGGGCTCATAATAATAAACCTATAAAGCAGAAGTTCTTCCATTTGTTAAGATATACTTCGTACTCGGTATGAACAAAAAAATCAAAGTCTTAACAATCTAACATTATAAAGTAAATTAAAAACGGAATTATGTAATTAAGTAATGAGGATGTGGAAGATCAGGAACAACACTTACATCAAATAATTTTTAGAGGAAACTGAATGGTGCATAACCTCTCGGCGTGCAAGAATTGACCGCTTTTTTGAAATGCTATCGAGGGCTGATAAGGTGTTGATGTGCTCGATTGTGGGAAAGACGAGAATTTTCTCTCTCATATATAGTGCTCTTTGGTATACGGTAAGATAATCCGGCTAAGAATTGAGCACAATCAGTTTCTCTCTCATACATAGTGCTTTTATATATAAGCTCAGTCGTCTAACACTCGAGTGAGAAACTTTTCCCTCTCATATGTAGTACTTTTATGTATTGTTACTACGAAGTAGAAGATAAGCTTGGGAACAATTGAGCGGGAGAAATTTTTCTCTCATATGTAGTTCTTTTAAGTATAAGATAAGATAATTAGACAAACGATCGAGCGGAAGAATTTTTTCTATCATATATAGTGCTTTTAGGTAATATAAGTCTGCTGACAATTGAGCGGAAAAATTTTCTCTTTCACATGTAGCGCTTTTAAGTATTATACTACGGAGTAGAAGATAAACTTGCTAACAATTGAATTGGGAAATTTCTCTCATATGTATTGCTTTTAGGTATTACAGAAGTCGGCTGACAATTGAGCGACATAATTTTCTCTCTCATATGTAGTGTTTTTAAGTATTATTATGAGCGATTTCCCAAAATAGGACCACACAGGGTCTGAAATTCCAAAATAGGACTGTTATGTTTTTCTTCCCAAAATAGGACTAAGATGACATTATTTACCGTTATCTTTTGGACATGACTGCCAAATAGTTGCAGTACTATGCATTCAACATGACAGTATTTATTATAATTAATGACAATATTTTTCAATCATGACAACAACAACTCTTATTTCAGAAAGAATAACATAGTGGTCTTATTTTGGAATTCCCAAAGTTGTTTACTCCTATTTAGAGCAATTTCCCTATTATTATTACGAAGTACAATTGGACGGGAGAACTTTCTCTCTCATGTGTAGTTCTTTTAAGTATAATATATGAGATAAGTTGACTAATAATTGAGCGGGAGAATTTTATCTCTCATATGTAGTGGTTTTAGCCTTTTAATTATATGAAGATAATCTTGCTAATAATTGTGCGAAATAATTTTTCTCTCTCTCTCATATGTA